CAGCGGCGCGGGGGATTAAGCGGGGTGGGAAGCCATAATGCGATTCGGCCGCGATCGGTAGCTGTGACTTGTGTTGGGGGCCTCAGAGAGCTGCTCTTTTGGAGTTGCTGCTCTGACAGCTCCCTTCGGACCTGTGTTTTAGGCGCGGAGCTAGGCGTGGAAGAATACGTGGTTGATGTGCGACGTATAGTGCTTACAAAAGTTTTGGTTTCCTGGAATTCCTCTGTGATAAGTAATATGATAAGGAAATGTGGAAGGATATTTTATAATAACAAACTTGCCAGATTTCTTTGAAATCTGGCGCAGAAAGCTGAAAGTGATAGAATGAGAACAGATGGCTAATTTGAAGAAAGTGGTTTTGGTGGCTTAATTTTGTTTTCAACTTCTTTTACCCCACTTCATTGGAAAACTGGTGTTGTGCCTGCTGCAGAAATTGGCTCACTAGCAACATTTTGGATCAAGAGTATATCTGTGAGTTCTAATTTATGCAGACCCTTTAAAGCCATCTTGCACATGAGTGTTCTCCATATCTAAATTATACTTTGGAATGTCTTGTTAATGTAACTTCTTGTCCACGCAAAAGACACGGTCCTTCGGATGCTATTGAGCATCATCTCATCATTCATTTCTAACCTCCCCTCCCCCCCCCTCTGGTACTACGTGTTGACCATATCAGGGTACTACTGAAGTTTTATAGCAGAACATTTATGGTGAATATATGTAAGAAACGTTCTTCAAGAAGTCATAAATTCTTTTAAATCTAATAAATGGTGCTTGTTTCTCAGAGATTATAACAGTTTCATATTACTTAGTATGATATTTCAGCTTGGTAATCTGCCATCTTGATAAGTTTGAATGTAATTAAAGACTTTGGGATGTGACTTTTCAGAAATAAAAAGAATTGTGAAGTGTTTTCATTCCTTAAACGTGAAATTTTTTTTCCTGTGGTTCTGTGACACTCTTACAACAGTCTTTTCTTTAAAATGTGTACTAGTGGTTTTTTTTCTCTTCCTGTTTCATGTATTAAATAGAATGATATGTATGCTGTGGTAACTCTAACTTCAGCCCTAGCCTTTGAAGTGGTTGGACCTAAAGCTCGCTGTTTATCTACAGGTATTTAAACTATTTTCAGGAGGATGTCTGTGAAGAGGCTTAACAGCACAATGTTAGGGGTCTTAGGGATGCCACTGGATTGCACGACGTATAGGGAGAGATACATTTCAGAAGTCTTGAATTTTTCTAGTAGAATTGAATAAAATTGTCAAGAGCTTTTGAAAAATGTTTAATTTGCTTTAAGGGCTTTGCTGCAGAAGGGTCTCTGAATTTTCTCAGTTACTAATGTACTTTCAGCTTCATAAATGCTAGCAGGCTGAATGGTCAACTGGCTGACGTCACTACTGTAATAGTTGGGTCTGTGTGAAACAGAACCTTAAAACCGGAATGTCGGATGGTAATAAACTGTGACAGAGCCCAATTGTTATCACTAGAAGAAAAAATGTTCTGAAATAGGCCAGACGTGGATTATATAGCAGGTGAGGAACAGAAAGCAAAGTTTTAGGAAAAAAAAATAATGCTTATGTTACCCCATAAAGCGTTACTGTAATATACGTAATACCAGTTTTACCAAGCATGGTGCTTTGTTTTCATACGTAATCAGAATCTGGTGAAGAGAAAGTATCTGCTTCTCGAGGTTACATTAAATTTGGTGTTGCCTAAAGGTGAAGTTAAAGAAGGAATATCTTTCATACTTTAAAGAGCATCACTCTTGCTTAACGGGGACAAGATCCTCTTCTAGGTAGGTTGTGTTGCACTGTGACCTTTGTAAAATGAGTATAAAATTTTAAATTACATATTAGTGGCAGAGGCACTTAATGAGTTTTCGTAAGGGTGTTTTCCATGTGAAAACACAAAAATCCCCCAGTGGTTTTCAGAGCAAGCTAGAGAATACATTTCAGTGCAATATATATGTATCCCAAATTTTTTGTTTATATGCATAACCATGAATTTCAGGTTTTATTAATCACATGCTTAAACTCACCTTCAGAAGATAAAGAAAAACCTAGGCCAGGATACTCTGCCTAAGTGGAATGTTTGGAATTCTTACATACGGGCATAAAGTATTGTTTTTTTATAGCTTGGTCTGTGCAGGAGTTCTGACTAAATGTTAAAATGATCTTTGAAAGACAAAGTGAACCTTGAGTGAAGATGGCCTTCTTGTTAAGATTTTTCAGAGTAGTCCAACCTTTTACAATTCAGTAACTGACTTTTCATAATGGAAATCTAGTAATAGAAGCAATGCTAATGTAAGCTAAAAGTAAACAGGATTTTAAATATCAGTGGAAAAAAATTGATGTGATGGGCTCTTTTTAAGCTGCTAGGAAGACAAAATAGATGGTTGGGGCCTGTTTTAAAAGGTGCGGGGGGGGCGGTGCGTGTCCTCTTCCATGCTTACTATAGAGGCATGTTCTCTAAAGGCAGAATTCCCTTCAAAAAGCCTATACGCAAGAATATGATGCATTTAGACTTGCCTCCTTTGAATTTGATCTGAATTTCTTGACCTGTCTTTTATAATAGATGTCCTCACAATATTGTGGAAGAACTGTAAACTTCTGAACTCGGGTTTCTTAAGTGTTCTTTCCTGCCCTGTAACATTCTGACTCAAAATACTTGGAGAATGTGCTGTTCTGCTTATCAGGCAAAATACAAAAAAAAATATAAACCCAAAAATGTGACTCTGAACTGATCTTAGATTAATAGTTTTAAGGAATAATATTGCTCTTGTAAGACTGTCTCTTGAACTCAGAACTTGCTTGAGTTCAATGTTGCAGCATGCACTTGACAGTTTTAGTAATGCCATGATGTGATGCCTTCAAAACAAACTCATGCTAACTCTGAATGAAATCATTTGGCTTCACAGCTGATGTCTGTCTGTCTACTGGAGTGTCTTCAGCACTGCAGACTTAGCATTTTGGAGAAGACATTTAAGCAGCTTTTAAACCTTGCCCTTCACTGTGCCATTTTGTGTTGCTGTGCTACTATGGGGGATTACTCTGGTTACACCTCAGAGTGCAATTAATTTGTGGGCTGCCATGCAGCGTTATTATGTAGAGCTTTCAGAAAGGACATGGAGGTCCCTGTTTTCCTGGTTGAGTTGAAGGTAATTCAGTCACGTACCCATTCAAAAAACATGGTGTTATATGGAGATCATGCACTGCCTGCCTGGGAGTCAGCTGCTTTGACTCTGTCACCAGCAGGTTTGAGGCCTCTTGGGGGTGTGCTGTCAGCTAGCTCAATGTCCCTTGGCCAGGTGCTTAGGGCTCAGTTTGGTTCATTACCACCTTGTCTCCAGCATTGCTTTTGCTTTCCGAGTCTCACGCTGAAACAGCAAGCAGTACCAATAAGACACGAAGGCATTGAGTGGTCTGTATAAACAGATTAATGATTGAAAGTATGTTAGATTTTATTGACTTGTCCTGTAAGAGCAATATAGGTGCTTTTTTTGGGCCACGGTACTGTATAATAATAATGCAAATGAAAGTTTCATGAACCATTTGGCCTACTGAACTAGCTAATTCAAGAAATGATAATATACCAGTTGTAGATGAGATCATTGATACCTATTTTGGTGGAAGCTGAAAATCCAGAAATAGTAGTCCAGTCTGTTAATCAGGATGTTTTGAGGCAGTGCTTCCAGTGCCAGCTACATAGATGGTTGGTTTGTTCCAAAGTGTGCAAGTGGTGTTGATTAGAACAGAGATAAAGAATCACATAATGAGAAAGCATATTTTTAAGTGCTAGGGAGAAAATGTATGCTTGGGAGTTACCCTGTTTTCTGGTAGAGACAGTCTGGCATGTTAGTTGTCGTTTTCATCTCTTACTCTGCAAATCCTTCCCCCAGTAGCATAATAGCTGGTTAGCAAGGCACCTAAGCCTAATAAAGGCTTTTCCACATATACTCTTGCCTTCTGATGACTTCTGTTTTGATGAGCTTCTGTACCTTATCTGGGTGAAAATACTTCTTTAGATAGTGCTCGGAGAGATGCTTTTGCAATGCTGTCAGACTCAAAATGGCAGATTAAAGCAGGCCATAAAATGAAGTAGGGACTTTTTCTTGTTTGTAGCATACATACGACACAGATTATTAAAACTAGCATATTTTCTGAATTATAGGTTAATTTAAAAGTGAGATTTTAAAATTGTGCATTAAATGTAAAGCAGTATAAACTTCAGAGCATAACTTGAGCTGTTTGTACTTTTCTGCAGGAAGAAGGTTGTGGACACTAATGCAATTGTTGATTTAAGATTTCTAAGTCGGTATGAGGCAGCAGTCAAAGTAGCTATTGTTTAACTTGTCTGCCTCCATTCATTCCTTGAAATACTTCTTTCCCTTGACAGTTTCAAGCATACTGTTTTCTTGTAGAATAGATAGCAAGTTTTAGACTGTCTCTTCTGCTCTTGACTTTAATATAACATCCAGATCTCCCTTTGCTTTTACAAGCTTTCTGAGTGAATTGAATCCTTATTTTTAATCACAGGTCAGACTGACAAAAGCCCAGTAGCTGCTTACTGGCCATCACTGTCAGTAAATCAAGTTTTGTGCTATAAGGGAGTAGGAATCAACAATGGTGTTACCTCCAGCTTTGTTGAACATTTCTATTGGAGCTCTGCTTGGACAAGTGTGAAAAGTAGCCTTGTTGAGCATGATGTCACTGCTCACTTTGCAGATGTTGAGTCATGTGGTGAGGCAGAGTGACACTGCTTTGCAGGTCCTGGTAGCTGCCAAGTCTCTGCTAGGGGATGTTGCTGCCCGCGGGCAACAGGTTCCTGCTGGGAGATGCCAGTTTAGTCTGAGAGCTGTTAGACTAAGCTGGCATCTGTTAAATTCAAATGAAGGAAACAAAAATTTCCAGGGACTTCGGGAATAGCGCTTCAGCTTTCCTATTTAAAAAAAAAAAAGTTAACTTTTTAGTCTACGTTGTTTGACTTCACCTTTAATAAAATTTCATCACCAAAATGAATTCAATGGATTGCAGTGAAGGAAAAATAAATGTATTAAAGCCAACTGGTATCAAGTCCTTCACAGAACTAACTCAGCAATGTACCCTGCTGTATGTAAACACTCTTCCACAAATTCTCTGACATGGTAACCAAGCTAGTGGGATACTTCAAGTACCAAATACAAATATGTGATAAGTGTCCTATACAAATAAAGCCTTTACTTCACCAAGCTATTGTCACTCTTCAGTTGATCCATTTAAATGTGTACTGATGGACTTTTAAGGTGAATTAATTTTTATATCAGTCTGTTATTAGACAGCTGGAGCTCTCTTCGCTGTGCATTTAACAAGTGGATTGAAAACAAGCATATATCTATATATGTATACAGGCAAGGATAGGCTATTCAGAAGGCAGTTGTCAATGCTTCTCTTCTAATCGTCAATGAATTGTAACAAAATACTAAAAGAGGATTTATTCCTCTTTGCATCATACACCTGTTGTGCATGTTCAAATTGACCTCTGCAGGCTTGCATAATTTGTGGATAAAAGCATTGGTTGCTGTCCTCATATATGCAGTCTCTTTCTAGGAGAGGTGCTGCAACTTACAGTCTCCTGCAGAACTACCACAATCCTCAGTTCGGCACAGGAGTAGCGAACTCCTGCCTTTTTGTGGAGGCACTGTAGCTTATCCTGTATCTGTGAAATCTAAATCCAGTGGTTTGTGATCTGAACCAGAAAGAATACTCTGCATGACTCCGTTCAGCAACAGCAGGTAGAAACAGCTGCTTTGGGCTTCTAGAACTGCAGGTGGCATGATTCTCCCAGTTCTTTGTCTGGGCCTCAGTACTGTTGGAGCTCCTTCTCCACCAAAAAGTCCCAGTGCAGGCCTTTCTTGACAGGTGGCTGTGTAATAGTTAGATTTTCCTTTTGAGAAGAGCTCTAGGGGTTGGTTTCAGGATATGGCTTCTGTAAAAGCTTCTGTTTTTGTCATTAGTAGTCCTTTCTCCTACAATTTGAAACTACTCTGAAGCTACCTCAAGTCCAGAGGAAGCTTGCTGTTCGGTTCCCTAGGGGGGAAGATCAGGAATTAGTTTCAGCTAAATGATTTCTAGTTTTCTGAATAAGCATTCTGTCATTTGGAAATAGGAGTAAAATTTTCATTTCATTGTTGAAATGATGTCTTCTGGTAGGTGTGTTTTGGTCTAAGAGAGGTTCCTGCCCATAGGAATAATATACTGAAAAATGGAGCATAAATTGTGAAATATTCATCTTTTGTGTGTGATCACTGGGCATAACCACCATGACAGAGCTTGGCTAGATATACAGCATCTTTGGTTTTCAGACCATGGTTCTAATTCGGTCTGCAAAGGTAAGGGCTTTTAATATTTAAAACTGTAGGCAGATTACAGGGAATGGCTGCTGATAGTGCTTTAAAATATTTAGTCATATCCAGCTTGTGTAAGTACAATACAAAAACCATTCTCGTGGAGAGATATTTGCATTTTAAACTTAGTCAGAGTGTCTCAGGTAGGGTTTTTGTTTGGGCCTTAGGTAAAAGGTCAGAAGGCTTTCCTCCTTTTCAGAAGACTAACATGGTGTAAGCCATGGTAAAGCATGGATAGCTTCAGGCACACACTGTTTTCTAAAGGCTTTTAAAGGCTGTCTTCGTAAGTAATTTTGTTTGAGCCTCTCTGCTCTGCAAAAAATGAATCGAAAGAATTCACATCCCTTTGGTTAATTTGACTCGCTTTGGTTAATTCGAAGTAGATGATTAGCTTAAGAGGGGAGATACCACTTTAGTTTGAGCGAATTCTGTGGAAGCAAATTCAGAAGAAAACCCAGATTTCTGTGATACAAATTCTAGCACTGCCAGTTTCCTTTCCATTTAAATGTAAAGCACTGAGCAGCTCAGAAGTGTGGTCGTTGATGGCTTAAGATCCAAGAAACAGACAGAGATGGCAGGCTCTCTTCTGTGTTCTGTCAGGCTTGAGCACTAGCAGCATAGGTGAATCAGTTTTAGTTAACAGCTATTGAAGCGATGGCGCAGAGTTTTCATGCTTGAGCTAAGTGTCTGTTTTGTTGCAGGGCAAGCTAGTCAGACTGTAGAATCTGGTTTATGCAGGTGAAACTTTGCTGTGGTTTGTATTTCTCCAAAGATCTATTGGTTTTGTAGCCTAACAGAAGCAAAAGCAACTTAAGGTAGATCAGGAAAGAACCTCATGCATTAGCAGACTCTCCTTTAGTGACCTTTGAGACTATTTTGCTGTTGGCATTCAAACTATTTAAAAAAAAAAGAAAAAAAAAAAGAAAAAAGATTCTGCTGCTTGTGTTTGATGCAAACACCTGAAGATTTCTTGAAATGTACTTTTAGTGTGTTGAGACAATGAAAGCACGATGTTACATATAAAATTTTGCTTTTATATCTGTAGAGGGATTCTCTGAAGTGCTGTGTAATTACATATTAATACACATTCTTACAAATTGACTAATGTTTTTTCTGTACTTATGTTTTCAGAATACACGGATGATAATGCCCTGATTCCGAAGAACTCATCGGTAATTGTTAGAAGAATCCCTATTGGAGGAGTTAAAGCTACCAGCAAAACATATGTTATGTAAGTATCCCTAAAGTGTTGTATTCTTTGTTAGGGGTTTCAGTGTGTTAACTTTTTTTATAGATACTAGTTTACAGAGGCATTCAGGTTCTGTCTTTCTTGTTAAAGCTGCTGTTAGTTTTTGTTGTTAAAGGGGTAGGTTTTAATATATCTGTCCCCAAGTAGAGTTACATTTTTAGGCCTGCCGGGACATGGGGTTCGAACTCCAACAATGGTAACTTTTAAGATGATTCTATCGGGTTTGTTCTTGGGGTTGATTTTACTGAGGCCCAAGTTGTAGATCCTTTTTCCTCGATGTGGAGAGATTCCTTATTATATGTGTTTGCTTTTATTGCTTTTGTAGTACAGACAGATATGCATTGTAGTGTAAACTCGTAATTTGTTCCCAACTCAGAAGAGTCTGATTCTCAATGTTTTACTATTTCTTTAATTTAGGGGAGGGGAGGGTGGGATATGGCAGGTATTCTCACACCCCAAATCTGGGGTTTTTGCATACTAGCTATAGAGACCAAGGGTTGCCAGCTGGCAAACCATGCAAACAAGAAGTTTCATTCATAAGTGATTCCTATTAGTTTTCTAAAGACAGTGTCCGTTTCAGGCAAGAGAAAAAGAATGCTATCCTTAAGTGTATTGCCTTTTGTGCAGGTACGATGAAGGAATAGTTAATACTTTCTGAACTTGAAGCTGAGTAAGCAGTTTAGTATGTTACCAAATGTTACTAGTTACCTTTCTAAGTCTGTTTTTACCCTAAGCTGGTGTCTGTGCTCCAGATTTTAATTGTGTATTCCTAAGATTTATGGAGGACAGAGAATTGGATGTATTGATTAAAATTACAGATATTCAAATGCTACCCTGACTACAGGATTATTGCTGTTATTTATTCATACAGTCCAGTTCTATATCAGCTACATTAGCATTGTTTGAATGGTCATGTTTTCCAGCCTTTTTAAGGATATGCCTCTCCACCACAATTAGTAGATATATTGGCTTGTGGTTTTGCCATGTCTTTTTAATGTTCTCAATAAATAAAGTAGACTGATGAGTTACAGTGTGTCTTGAACAAACAGTGCAGCAGCATCCTGGTACCCATGAAGCATTTGCAAGCAAAAAAACCCTGAATTTATGTGGCTCTTCATGTAAACTTTGGGCGTACTACTGCAGTAGTTGTGGCAGTGCTTTCAGGCACTACCTAGTAATTCTGGATGCCACAGTGTTGTGCTTATAAACATGGCCTTGTTTTGGCGGTTAATTTAAATATGTATGCTTAGTGCTGTCTTGTCAATGCATCCTCCGTTTCTGGTTGGATGGTACCCTCTCCTAGTATTGTAATGCTGCCCTAAAATGAGAGGATAGATGCTGCCAGCATCAAAAATCAAATAAATACCTGCATGTGGGGATAAGGGAAGAATGGCACTGCTGTTCTAACATTGAAAATTAACCAGGCAGGTTAGCTTTCTATTCCTTCAGCTGGAAACATTGCAGAAACAACTGATAGAGTGGTTAATGTTTGGGAACGATGAATGTATGCTGTAATGGTGGAGAGGCCTTCCAAAACGCATTTCTCTCCTTGTAGTATGTTCTTCAAGGTAAATGTATGAAGAAACAGTTGTGTGGTAATCTAAAGTATTTCCTTGTACTTCCTCATCTTCAGGAGGTACGTGGCTGTAATTGCGAGCCTGGTGGTGTTCTAGCAGTGGCAGGAAGCACGAGCCTTTTTGTTTGTACATAAATTCCACAGCAGCCTTTGAATTGCCTCTGCTCATGGGACACTTTGGATGATGTATGAATTGTTTGTTAACAATATCAATGGTTGCATGTCTGATTCATGATGAGTAGCATGCAGGTACAGATCAATGAGTATGTGGAATCTCAGCAAGTTTTCAAATGTAATAAATATTTCCTAAAATACTGTAGCATTTTCAAGATTACCTTAAAGCAAATTCTGGCAATTAAGACCTTTTTTTTTGTCACAGGACTCCTAAATCGCACAAAATCCTAGAAACTGCTTTCAGGTGACATTTCTACTACTATTTTTAGTCAATATAGCATATGTAACACGTTTAGTATTTTGGCACTTTCATGGCTAAATATAGTAGATATCTGAACACAGTGCTTGGGCTTCCACAAAGAAACACTGTTCTAAAGACTGTGCTGCTGACATTTTTGTTATTTCTTTGTCAGATGACTGTTTTTTTTCGCTTAAGTAAACTTGCACTTCCAAGTGTCTAGACTATCACTGTTCTTTCTTAGAAACTGAAATACTGTATCTCGTACCTGTTTGTAACACTAGGGATATACTGATTGGCTGGAGTTACCTTCACATTTTGATGGTTGATTATTTAAGAACACAAAACTGTAGTACAGACTTCATATTTTTGATAATTACGTAGCAGAGACAAAATACCTGAGGACTTCCTCTTGCACTGTTGTGTTCTATATCTATAAGTTTTAGAGTAATTTGTGACAAAGTAGAAATGTGCTTTTTGGGTTGTTGGTTTTTTTTTTTTTTTTTAGTTGCACTGAATGTACCAAGAGAGAACAGTTTATGTATATGAATAAATTTCCACATTCACTAGACTATTGGAACATAATGTTTTTACATTTGGGTTTTATAATCTGTTTTCACTGCTTTATGTTGGGTACAAGTGCTTTATTTTAAATTCTGACCACCTTTATTTCTTCTTCTAGAAGTCGAACTGAGCCAGTGAGTGGAACATCAAAAGCAGTATGTAAAAACACAATCTCACACTTTTTTCTACACACTGCACTTAATTCTAAACAATGTAGTCTTTTATTAATTTTCCGAACATTAACTTAATATATTTTCCAGTAAAACGTAGTATATGTTGTACATACAATGTATTTGATTCAGCATAGTAAAAACAGTAATGCCATCATTTGCACAGTTCTAATGTGAATACTGGTATTTGTGCCTAGTAATGCATTGTATTTCATATTGAATATGCTAGAATATTTCCTGTATGACTTTGTGTTGTACAGATAATGTATGATCGTTTTTAGATCATGTAGGTTCAAGGTTTGCACAATTGAACATGGTGCCATGTTCTACATCTGTCTGTCTATAGCTAGTAATATGTATGTTTGTATAGGTTGTTGTGTGCTTTTTGTTTCTTGCAATAAAAATTGTTTGGAGTGTATTTTTTGCCATTTTCACATTGTATCACTTAGCTTTTGTTTTTAAATACTTTTTTTTTGCCTAATGGTTTTTGAAAATGTTATCAAAAACCGCTGAAAAACCATTATTGTTAAACTTGGTACTGTTTCTTACTTTTGACTTGGGGGTTCAAACAAATACCAAAACCAACTTATCCCATACATTTTGAGGACAGTTCTGTGCAGCTAAATTATTCCTTTTCATGTCCTTAAATACTTGGGTATTTGTTACTAAAACTGTGTAACTGAAGTGATATTGTTTGGGCCCCTCTGAGTACATAAATGTCTTTTAATAGATTGCCATGAATTCAAATATCGTTGCTACACAAAGTGGTATTCTAAAGTTCTGCATTTGGTCTTTCCACTTTATATGATGAAGCAGTTTAGTTTAATAGTTCATCTGCAAATGAAAATACTTAATACAAATTTTGGCACAAGGTTAGAGCCTGGTGCATTTGTGGGTAAAATCCCTGTCATTTTTCTTAACTTCTGCCTGCAGTACATTTTTGGATCTGGGTGACTTCAGGGTTGGATGCCGCTTTAATTTCTCAAAGGTTAAGCCTTTCTTTAGTATACCACCGCTTTGAACTTACATTTGGAAAAGGGGCAGCATTTTTTTTGAGGTTTGAAAACACTGTCATTCTGCTGCTAGAATATAAATGAGTAACACACGGAAATACTTGACTGGTAATGGTCTAGATCTTGAATTGCCACTTGGGTCGAATAATATGTGTAACTACGCATTTCAAAATAGTCCTTATAGTATAAAAATTACTATTTGGTGGTTTTTATTTTTCATCTTTATTTTAAATATAACTGCTTTTTCTTCACTAGAATGCTGTGAGGCATTACACTAACCCTGGATCATTGGATCTGATCACTTGATAAGCTGTTAGGATAACTTAATCTAGAAATTCATGAACTCTGGGTCTGTGTTCTGTGAAGAATACAGCCTCTGATTCTCGTGGAATGGTATACAATCAACTTAAAATTGAAAACTTTTTGTGTGTAGGTCTGAAAACACTAAGTCTGAATCTGCATCCGTAATTCTGTTGCTGATTGATTCGAATTCCTTTTGGGACATGAATGCCTGTCATTGTGAGTTTGAGTTAGTTTAACTGGCCCAGTGACCCTAGTAGTTAATGTAATGCATTTATGTAAACCACGTTTACAGTATTTGGTCTAATTCAGATGGGTTTTTATTTCTTGAAAAGAGTTATTTTTCTTTTTGTTTACTAGCATGTGTATAAACACAAATCACATGTTCATAAATAAAGTTAACATTCTTTTAGCCTCGTGTGTTCCCTGGCATGTCTGTATTACATTTCTAAGTAGCATCTTTCCATAAGCTAACATAGATGTCTCATTAAAGAAAAAAAAAATCCTGGAGTGGGAGGGAAGACTTAGTGTTAGTTAGAACTAATTAAAGTAAATGAAAGGCAAAGCAAAAACAGTCCACCCTTGTTTACTCTGACTGTACCTGATTTGGGTTTTGGGTAGCCATAGGGAGGGTGGAAGCTTTGCATCTCTCTTTACAAGTCTGCTCTCTCTCCCTGTAAAAGCACTGCAGCCTCAGCTGCTTCTAGTGTTGGAGACACAATTAGCTTTATTCTTAAAGCTAACTCAGGTCTTGGTCTAAAGTGTGGGGTTTTGGTTTGGTTTGTTTTTTTAACGCACATATTTCTGTATGTATTTCAAAGCAGGACCTGGATCTTAGTGTGGTAGGAATAAATCACTGGAAAGCTTGCCAATTATTGTTGAACAGTAAAGCAGCAAAATTAAAATTAGTTAAGATTTTTTTAAAAAGGATGCACAAAAGCTTATACTTTGAATATTTCTTCATTTTCTTGCTCTTACGTTAGCTGTCATTCTACACTTGCAAATCTGTGCTGCTGTCCTACTGTTACTACAACCAAATCAAGGAAGTGGATCTTTTTTGTTTTAGTGTTACTATTTCAGTAACTGCAAGGATCTGTAGTTTGTATTTGTCCTTAGAGGCTGCAGAAATGCAGGGAGTCATGCCCATTGTTTTAGCACCGCCGTCAAGCACAATGGTGATCCTTCCTGGCTGAATTTTTAGTTTAGCCAAGCTGTCAGGTTTTAGGAAACAATTTAAATGTAGCACCCCGACAGTGAGTTTAGCCTTTTCTTCCTATTTTCTGTCCCCTTTCCCACTTGCTTTATGTTAGTTTCTGTTTAGACTTCTGTTTGAAATGGGAGTTAATACGCTGATTCTGGTTTTTTGGGGGTTTGTTGGGGTTTTTTTGTTGGTTTGGGTTTTTTTTTCCCCCAGTTCTTCTGCAGTATTATCTTAGGGTTGTATACAAGTTTCATGGAGATGTTGTTTCTACTTAACTGATTTGAGGGACTGGCAGGAAATACTTCAGTAGAAATTTAAAGGGGGAAAAAAAAAAGACACAAGAATGTAGGATCTTTGGAAGATGGCTGTTGGGAAACATACTAAATAGTACGTTAATTATCTATTTGCTGCTTTTGATAACTGTTTATTAGAAAGGAGTGCTATCCCCTCCTCTAAGAAATTAGACTGTTGAGTGCAGGCCATATAACAACTGCTTCCTAAAAAACTACAAGAACTAATTAATAGTTTATTAACTGTTATGTTTCAGTTGCTGGTCAATACTAGACTGTTTAATGCTAAGCTACAATAGAGAGCTTTCCTCATTTCTTGTTTGCTTTTGAAAAACCACAAAATGATCGCAGTTGTGCCTGCCATGAGAGAACATAGGTTTGTTTTTCCACATGTAAAAAAGAATTGCATATGGAGCATGAAGCTTCCAAAGACTTCGTCAGCCTTCCTTTTTAACATAACTAGGTACAAAATGTTCAGAAAACAAGGAAAGGTGACCCTTCAGTAAGACTTGCAACAGAAAGAAGGTCTCTTTCCAGATTTGAGTGTTCCTCTCCAAAGGCACATTTTCAATAACTTTTTAGTTAGCGATACAGTAATGTTGTATGTGGTTTCCTGAACATAGAGAAGGAATGATTAACTGGAGTGAGGAGTCATCTTCTGCAGGTAGATATTTTTTTCCCCAGAGTCTGCTAAAACTGCTCCCTTGAATTCTTCCATTACATTAGGTAATAAAGGACAAGAGCTTTTTCCAAGGAACGGTTTTAATCTCTCTTCTGATCAATTTAGTGACCTCTTGAGGAGAGCTGTTCGGTTTACATTGTGAAATTTTATTCTACCTTTTTGAACAACTTAAGACATAATAAGCAGTGATTCAAGTGTCTTTTTGATAATATTTTACTAGTGTAAGCTTAACTGCTGCTTGTGGCATAATATAATTCAATATACTGGGAAAGGAACTAGATAAGAGTTACCCTTTTTACTTGTGGAAAAATTGCACTTCAGTATTAGTTCTCAATAAACACTGCAGTCCGTTACTAACTAGTGGCCTGGGGACTTCATTCCTGCAAGCTGTTCCAGTAGGTAGCTGGGAGGGAGGAGTGTGGTTGCAATGGAGGATTGTGCTTACAGGATTGTGCTCTGAATCCATGTTTTCATCAGCAAGAGTATGCTTTGCGCTTTCTTGCTTTTGTTCATTTAGTACTGGGCTGCCACTGAAAATTGGTTTTGGTCTGATAGCAAGGAAAATATTATATTCTCACACTTCCCAAACTGATTTGGATGGTATGGCCTGTGGTCTAATAAAATACAAGAAATCAGCTTTCTCCATTTTTATAGGCTACTCTGTCATGATAAACACCTTTAAATAATTTAAGCAATTTTTTTTTCTAGACAAAGTGGTGGGTTGCTTTTGTGGCTGATGTTTTGGATTGGTGTTTTTATTTGGGTTTTGTGGGCTATGGTGAGTTTGGCATTTTTAAACTTACTGACAGGATGGGCAGAGTTCATGTTTCAGGGCTGGTATGCCTGTGCTTTATTCTGACAGGCAACTACTATGTTCATAAAAGCATAACCACGTGCATTTAGAAACTATGAGACATTAACTGATTAATTTACAAACTACAGTGAAAATAAGTTTCTTGTAGTGTTGTGTCCTTCTCAAATAAACTTAATTTTTTTCTTTAAAATCCTTTTTAGCTGAAAATTGACAGCTTCCTTACCCCTTTGACTTTTAAGCAGTTGTAAGCATTTGACAAGGGTCCCTCTCTGAGATATTCTGGACCAATAAGTTGATCTTGGGTGGGTTTGGTTATTTTAGTTTCTTCTCATTAACTACATAGGCACTCTTAAGCTGTTGTAGGTTTAGACTTTGTTTTGAACAAATACAAATTATGCTAGGTTGGAAATGCTTCTTTCAATGACACTCAGAGGATATAGTGCAGACTTTCAGACTGCAGTAGAGGTTAACTATTGCTATGTTTTGATTGTAGAACTTGAATATGTGTTTAATTTTTTGTGAACAGATTGATGACTCTTCTGCATCTATTTCTCTGGCCCAGCTTACTAAGGTATATATATATATATTCTTGTCAAATACTTAAAAACAGTGTTTGCTTCGTATTTTTAAATCTTATACTGTGATCTATAGCTGGATAACTGTTGTAATTTGAACAAAACCTTAATTTTTAATAATTTCAAGTATTTATTTTAACTTCAAAATGTGTATATATTTTGATACTATCCTGTAAAGAGTAGTTCCCAGTTTGGGAAGATAGAAGGGGAGTACCTTATCAGCCTCAACATAATGTTGCAGTATTACTCATCTTCAAGACACAAAGAAGAAGCACTTCAGAAGCTGTTTACCGTTTTTCATACGTTTCGTTAATTTTGCGTTGGAAACTAACACAATTTTTACAGAAGAATTTAATTGGCTGTAAGTTATGGACATTTCAGGGGGGTTTGCAACAGCCAAAATAGAAGCATTTCTGTAACATGGACAATTGCATGGCTATTTTTGAATTTCTAGTCATTATAGTTACAGATCCATTCTTTGAATGCTGCACAATTTCATAAATTGTAGTATATATACAGTGGACAACACAATCTAATTTGTTTGAACGCAGACTGTGTAAATTGTGTAAATGTACCTAATTGTTTATAGGAATATACCAATGTGTATGTGTGGCATATTAGCAGATGTGACCTTCTGAAACTGTTGTAATGC